CTCTCTCTCTCTCTCTCTCTCTCTCTCTCTCTCTCTCTCTCCCTCTCCCTCTCCCTCTCCCTCCCTTCTACTCTCTCTAAATAAATCAATAGGAACAATCTCCTCAGGTGAGGGTTAGGGTTAAGTAAACAAATTTTAAAAAATACTGAACAAGAGGCAGGAGGACTGGGGAGCCATCATGGGGATGGCAGGATGGAGGAGCTGGGGGCCTTTGACTAAAGGCCCAAGGAAGTGAGTGAGGGGGCTTTGCAGGCCTGCAGGAGGAGCGTTCCAGGCTGAGGGAACAGCCAGTGCCGAGGCCTTTCCAGTCCCCATTCTTCCCCTCTAATCCCCTCCCCTAGTTTCTACTCAGGCCATTTAGAAGGGGAAGGGATAGGACAGGCAACTGGAGAAAGTGGTCCCTCCAGGTGTCAGCCCCCTGGTGGGCCTGGTCACCTTCCATTCCACAGATGGGGACACCACAGGCTCAGAGAGGCTGTGTGACACACCTGAGGTCACAGCACAAATGGGGCCCAGGTCTATCTGAACTGGGGGCCTCTGACTTCAGGGAGTAGATTCACCCCTATTGAGAGCAGGAATTTTTTTTCCAATTATAGTTGACATTCAATATTATATTAGTTTCAGGTGTACATCATAGTGGTTAAACATTTATATAACTTACAAAGTGATCCCCCAATAACTCTAGTACCCACCTGGCACCATAAATAGTTATTATGATATTATTGACTATATTTCCTATGCTATATATTATATTCCTATGAGTATTTTTAACTACTAATTTGTACTCTTTAATCTCTTTACCTTTTTCACCCAGCCCCCAGTCCCCCACCCATCTGGCAACCACCAAACTGTTTTCTGTATCTGTGAGTTTGTTTCTGTTTTGTTTGTTCATTTATTTTACTCTTTAGATTCCAAGGGCAGGAATCTTGATTGGCAAAGTCTAGGCCAGACAGGACAGTCAGGCCCTGGGACAGCAGACACCTGCCCTGCATGATGCGCTGGAGTGTGAGTTACTTAACTGCATAGATATTGCAGGGCCCAGAGAGGCAGTAACAGACAGACATTCGGGGCTTCAGTCCCCAACCCTCCAGAACAGGAGAGCATCAGCCCCGGAGAGGGGGCCAGCCCAGAGCGGTGATAATTTGGAAAATGAGTCAACTTGGGAAGGGAGGGGGGTCTGATAGTAGAAGCAGGACTGTGAATAGGGGCCTCAGATTCTGTATGAGTCTCCTATGGTTACAATAACAATCACCACAATGTGTTATCTAATAGTTCTAGAGATCAGAGGTTCAACAGGGGTCTCACTGAGATAAAAATCAAGCTGTCCGCAGGCTTTGGTCCTTCTGGCGGCTCCAGGGGAGAATGGTCTGTGCCTCTTGCAGCTTCTAGAACAGTGGTTCTCAACCTTCCTAAGGCCGCGACCCTTTCATACAGTTCCTCATGTGTGGTGACCCCCAACCATAAAATTACTTTTGTTGCTACTTCATAACTGTAATTTTGCTACTGTTATGAATCGTAATGTAAATATCTGATATGCAGGATGTATTTTCATTGTTACAAATTGAACATAATTAAAGCATAGTGATTAATCACAAAAACAATATGTAATTATATATGTGTCTTCCAATGGTCTTAGGTGACCCCTGTGAAAGGGTCGTTCGACCCCCCAAAGGGGTCTCGACCCACAGGTTGAGAACCGCTGTTCTAGAGGCTTCCTGCATGCCGTGGCTCATGATCCCTTCCTTCATTTTCAAAGTCAGCAGCATAGCATCTTCTAGTCTCTCTAACTCTCTTGCCTCTCTGTCATAGGACATGGACCCATCTGGATAATCCAAGATCATCTCCCCATCTCCAGATCCTTAAAATCAAATCTGCAAAGACCCTTTTGCCATATAAGGTCACATAGTCACAGGTTCCAGGCATTAGGACTCATGGACGTTACTGGATAGCTATTTTCCATCTATCATAGGGTTCGGAGTCCATGGTCCAGCTTCCAGGCCTGGCCATGATGGCCCCAGGGTCTGAAAATGGACCATGTGGCTGAGACAAGCAGACTGACAAGCAGTAGGGACAAGGAGATCTTCTGGGAGTCACCTGGATCCAGGCTATCAGCCTCCCCCATCCTACCTCCTTGTTCCTGTGAAGCCCCGGAAGGGAGGAAGAGGAGGCAAGGAGTTCCTTCCTCCCCTCAGGTCTGAGCTCTGGGCTTTCCTAGGGTCCCCTCCCAAAACACCCCACACTGAACTGGCCAGGCCAGCTTAGAAACAGCCCCATCTCCCCATTCCCACTAACCAGGCCCTGGCCTTCCCTGAATTCCCCCAAACCCTGACAATTTTATCTTTAAATCCCCCTGGCGTCCCTCCTTTCATTCTGTCTGCAACCTCCATATCAGGCCCCAGCTGCTCTCACTGCCCACTCATTTTAAATCTGACCTGCCTGAGTCTAATTTTAAATTGTGCTTCGCCCTAGCCAATTTGACTCAGCGGTTCTCAACCTGTGGGTCGCGAACAATGAAAATACATCCTGCATATCAGATATTTACATTACGATTCATAACAGTAGCACAATTACACTTATGAAGTAGCAACGAAAATAATTTTATGGTTGGGGGTCACCACAACAAGAGGAACTGTATTAAAGGGTCGCGGCATTAGGAAGATTGAGAACCACTGACCCTCCAATCCAGCTTCTCTCAGAGTGTCAGCCTGCGGACTGAAAGGTCCCGGGTTCGATTCCAGTCAAGGGCACATGCCTGGGTTGCAAGCTTGATCCCCAGTAGGGGGCGTGCAGGAGGCAGCCAGTCAATGATTCTCTCTCATCATTGATGTTTCTATCTCTATCTCCCTGTCCCTTCCTCTCTGAAATCAATAAAAATATGTTAAATAAATAAATAAATAAATAAATACATTGTGCCTCTCCAGAGAGAGCCTTTGAGGGCCTTTCGACACTGGCCCGCCCTACTGTCCTCTCCTTATTCACTTCCAGACCCTGACTCAGCTTAATCCCTACCTACTCATTTCTCTGAGGTCACCTCCTCCTCCAGGAAGCATGCTCATGGAAGGGGGATAGGGGACCAGGAAAAGGAGAGTACCTCCCACCTGAAATCTTCCCCTGGCTCTGCCACTTGTCTCCATTCATGGGGAGTCATACACATGATTGTCCTGTTCTGAGCAGCCCTGTGCAAGGCATGTGATACAAGACAGTTCCTAGTGGCCACAACTGAGAAAAGTTTCTTTGCAAAGAAGTTCTTGGCTGGAGGGGAAGAGAATGAGTGCAAGTGGAGGGTGGGGCAGAAGTGGAGGTGGGGGGTCTTTGGAGGGGACTGAGGCCTGAGGGAGATAGTGAAGGGGCAGCAGATGCAAGGCCAGAAGCTGGATTGGAGGGCTAGGTTCCTCCAAGGCCTCTGCACCGCCCCCTCCACTTTCTATGTGTGGAAATCACATATCAGTGACCCAAAGCAACTTGCCTAGGGGCCCCACAGCCCAGAAAATGAGGACTTCGCCCACCTCCCGGCATCTGCTTCAGGGAGAGGCTTTTGTCCAAAGGTGAGGCTACTTGCCCAGACAACGCCGGCTGGCCAGCGGTTCTGGAACCCCCTGGCCTCCACCTGGCAACAGCTGGACCCTGAGTGCCAGGTGAGCCTCAGGTGTGCAGAGAAAACTGGATTGTCCTCCATTCACACTTTAGGTTCCAGCTGCCAAAAGGGAGCCCAGCACCTTCCTCTGTTGCCCTCTGCTGGGCTACCTGACCCTTACACCCCACCGAACCGCAGACCTTTTCTTTTTTTCTCAAACTTCTTAAATTTATTGAGACTTGTTTTGTGTCCTAACATGTGGTCTATCCTAGAAAATGTTCCGTGTGCACTTGAAAAGAATGTATATTCTCCTGCTTTGGGGTGGAATGCTCTGCCGATATCAGTTTAGTCCATCTGATCTAATGTGTTATTTAAGGCTGCTGGTTCCTTGCTGAGTTTGTGTCTGGAAGATCTATCCACTGAGGTCAATGGGGTGTTCAAATCTCCTACTGTGACTCCAACCCGTAGACTTTGCCCGGCTGCCCTCCACGCCTCCCAGCCTCTAGAATGGCCTCTGGGCGCGCCTGGGTCCCACGCACCACGAACTGGACCCACATGGCCTGCGAGCTGGGACAGGACCCTAGACTCCAGGTACCGAGGCGGCCTCTGAGGCCTGAGGCGGTGTCTGGGCCTCCTCTGCAACGCCCAGTCGTGCGCTTCGGCAGATCAGGGCGCCTCCGAGTGTTGGCAGGTGCACGGGTCAGAGCCGGGCCAGAGGGGACTCCGGCGGGGGCCGGGGTACGAGTGGCGAACGCAGGAGAAGCAGGGGGCCAGACTGAGCGCGCGGCGTACCGGGCCGTATTCAGAGGCGAGCGGCAGGTTCCG